AATGACTGGGTAAATTTACTGAAAAAACTAAAGAAAGCAGTGAGCTTGAAGACTTCCCACCTTCTGACAGCTTGCAGTCGTCGCGGACATTTCGCCCTCAATTTCCATTTTAACCATAGTAAGAAGAATCTAAACAGTGTAACAGGTGATTTTATTGATCAATCAACAAATAGTTTTGTTGGGTCTGTTGTTTACTCAATTAACAAAACAGGCCACAAAAGCAAGTGATCTAGCAATGGTACGAGTGCGAGCGGTTGCGATGCGGTCAATAACAATTAAGGATGGCAAAGTTGAGAAGCATGGGCATAGGTATCATACATGGCCTTTGAGAGTGTAGACGTGCTTTTCTGTTTCCCTCATATGCCTCACGGTAAAGGGAAAGAACACTAGAACGGAGAAGGCCCAAAGCCCGACTCCGCCCATTCGAAAAGCGTGGAACGTGCCTTCCAATGTTATTCCTTACGACAATGATCTTGCAGAACAGCTCACTGAAGCGCATCTCACAATTTCAAATGAGACAACACCATTCGAGATGCACGCGTGACGTGAAGACCCAGGGCGCGTTTGCAGAGGTGCAACAGCGGGAGACTCAGTACGGGTCACAATGAGGACGAGTTATCGTGTCGCCGGGTTCTTTAGAATAGCACAATTCTGATACCTTAATTCATACGCCGATACCGATGATAAAAAACAAGAATTTGCTGGATATTGTTTTTTACGGTATTGGCGTCTTCTCGAGGGTTCCTGACACGATACTGGAATCGTAACAGTTGATTAGGCGCTTGGCGGGGTAAGTTGCGAATCTAAAACTTGGAACATATCCAGGCCTCTGGAGAAGACGATAAGCTGGAACGTTAGGCCCACCTGACAGTAAGGCACAAGAAAATTCAAAGAATTGCTGGACAGGGTTCACCTTATATCCATCTCTTGCAACAATTTCCCAATCGCAATGCACATCCTTGTTGTACTTGATAGGATAATTAGGCGACATCACGTAGCCAGTAGGAGTTGTAGCACTGGCTCTGATTCGCCGACCGCATCGATAGGCTCCATCGCCACGAGGTTCTTTTGTTTCTAAAAGATTGTTTTTTTTCTCATGTATATGGTAGCGATGAATCTTGAGGGGGTTAGGAGATCCAAGCTGCGACGAAAAAGACGCTGTCAGTTGCTTCGCGTGCACCGCCGGAACGGCAGCGGGTGAGTCTCTACCCCTGCCGCGCGAAGTTCTAGTTATCTAGTTCTGCACGAATTCGGATCTCCCGACCCAAAAGTTTGCGCCTTGCGAACGTGAACATCTACTGGTTAATTTCGTCTTGGAATGAGTAATTCAGGGATTAATGATACAGTAATGGATAGCAAAGATAACGCTTTGGTACCATGCGTAGGGATGTCCTCCTTAGGATGTCCTCCTTGGCAGCAGGCCGAATTTCGTAGAGAGCTTTGAAACCATTTCCTGTGCCAGTCGAATCCGAACTGAAGATGACACGCATTGAATGTGCACCAAAGGCTGACACCGTCGGGCCCGGAAAGGTGTCTGAGCAGTAGCGCTCTGAAATTAAGTACTCTTCCAAGAAAAAAAACCATTCAATGAGCTCGAGCAGGTCCTGACTTACCTCGCAATGCAAGTCGTTCATCAGTGCCTTCATGGAACACATCGTAGATCTCCAGCCAGTCCTTGCACCTAGAATAGGCATACAGTTGTGATCCACGCAAACGATCGGGGCGTTTGGTGCGGCGCGGATGGGAGTACGGTCAAAACGGAAGTATCTTGAGCCCTTTACAGTTAGTGAAAACCTGCTCTGACTGCGCTCCAAGCCACGCCTCCCTTCTCGCACCACAGTTTCGGGGATCACGACTAAAATGAAGGAGATACGGTCCCGATCTCTGCAATGGATAGGGCGTGTGATGGAGAGGTGGCTTGGAACGCAGTTAGGGCCCAACCAGTCGTGGCGGGCCCAGGGTGGCACCATTGGTGGAAAAGGCGACCACTCTCAACGCGAACTTTCTGAAGTTTTGGAAGAGGAAGTGCATGAACATCCAAAAAGTGACCATTCGACAAAATGAGATTCGGTCATTTTCAACCTGTCCCCACCTCAACTTTTACAAGTTTGGCGAGCCTTTGTAAAAAAAAAGAACAATGCTTTTGGTTCTGATTAGTCCCGTTTTGATAGGCGTCACGCATTCTGTTCTCATTTATGATAGCAGGGTATTGTGAGCCTAATTTGGCTATAAAATGACTTGCGTATAGCAATCGTCAACCGTTAGACACCAGAGGGGAAACCAACCAGATTAAAAGCTCGCAAGACCTAGATAGGATTCAATCCTAGACTTGGCCCGAAGACAGCGCGTGACCTGAAAGGCGCTGCTTGAAGGCAGTCTCGTGCTCAAGCAATCCGCCCTCGTACAGTCCTCCCTTGTAGAAGTGATCTGCCCCTCAGTATCAAAGATT